AAATCAGAAAAAATATTACATAAGCTTTGTTGACAATGCCTTCAGATGTTGATGTACTATTTAAAAAACGAGCAGGAGTGTTTTATTAGGTTTAAAGCCGGCTTTAGACCTGATAAAACACGACCTGCGAGTTTTTTAAATGGCTTCAAAAATGTTTGCATAATAAGTCAAATCTTTATATAAAAATCTTTATATAAAAATCTTTATATAAAAATCTTTATATAAAAATCTTTATATAGTTTGCATAACAATGGTCTTTTGTTAAAGTGTTCTTTAGCTGGTATAAAGACGTATGTACGTGACTAATTTCCTACTCAAGATTGGATAATTGCTTCATGAATTATTAATGAGTTTTTGAATTTCAATTAATAATCTAAAGTTGTATTAGAAAACTGTTGCTTGCAGGCATCTTGTTTTGGACGAAAACTGTCTTATCTTTCCAGTTTCCATACGTATACATATATTCGTCTACAAATAACAATTCGATATTATAACCGGCACGTGCTTATATTAAAGTTGTCATAAGCTCAATTACATTAGATATACACGCGGAGTAGAAAACTGATATGTTAAAAAGTAAACAATGGAACAAATTTGAAATCTGCATAATATCTCTGAGTGAGCAAGTCTACAGTACTAGTAAAGATTTGGTATTAAATAGAAAAAATGTACATACAGATTTTCATAACATTCACTTGATTGATACAGCAAACAAAAAATAAAAATGAACATTTCAGGTCTCGAAAATTAAATTGAGATAAAAAAGAGCAATAATTATAACAAAACACGCGAAGTTCTCAGTCACTCCCTGTCGAAGCCATTTTCAAAGCAAACAACCATCATATGGTCGGAATCCAGAGAGTTTATCCTCTGAGTTATATCATAGTTGCAAGCCATTGCAACCGAAAAACTGCAATGATGAAACAACCTTGTTAACTGATATCGAAGGAAATAGATTCAGTTCCAAAATATCACATACTCGAACCAACCTGACAGCGTGGCTCAGTTGGCAGAGCTTTGGGCTAGTATTCCAAAGGTCGTAGGTTCGATTCCCACCGTGGCCGGGCATATTTTTCAAGCTCGCCCGGTGTGGATAAAAACACTCACTGGTCTCAGAGTAACATCACAAACAACTTTGTTAATTGCTGTTAGAACATTACTGTTCAGCATTGTTGATTGAACATGCTAGAACAATATTGTTCTGTCAACCATGAACAATGTTGATGGGCCAACAAATTGTCTTGCATTGTTTTGAACAATTATAAACAATGCTGTTAAAATTTGCACACGTCACATGTTTGAGTCATATCTGCCAAATCAGGTTATTTTCCATTCCCATTCAAGATCTTTTTCCTGCATGCTTTGCAGCTACGCGCATAATATTTCAAGACCTATAAAGGTAACATAGATTTCCCAATTTAAAATGTACAATAATTTTTCCAAATTTAAGTTTTCTTTGGCGAACAACATTGTTCAATTGCTGTTATCAATCCTGAACAAGTTGCGCGTTTTTAAAGCCTAGTTTCCATTTGGTCGTTAGTTGTCGCTGGCACGACAAGCGGTGGATGTGAAATAGTCTAATATAATAATAGTTGTTTTGTGTGTTATATGCAAATCAGTTTTAATGATTGCAGAGTTTTATAAAGTTTTGTTGACACTCTATTACATCAGCCACTTGTCGTGCCAGCGACAACTATAACGACGAAATGGAAACTAGGCTTAAGCGTGTAGTCTATATCAACGTAGCGTCTCTCTCCTCCGCAGAGGCTTTAGTTTTCTTAGGATTTAATATTACGATGAGATACATTTCATTACACTTTACATGACAAATCTTGGAACACCAGCATACCCGCTGGGTGAAGGAGCGCAGGCGGCAAAGGAAAAGGGCGAGGGAAGGCGCGAAGCGCCTTCATAGCCAATTAAAACCTCTGCGGAGAAGAGAGACGTAGCGTAGTTGAAAAAATGTTTTAAAGTGTATTTGTTGGAGTAATTAGTACTTATATAAAATTTAGGAAGATTAAAACTTTCCGTGGGTATGAAAAACGCAATATTGCTGAACTATTTCTTGATTTGGTTGTTTTAACAGATTTGTCCTTTCATCATTGAGCACAATGAACAACAGTAGATTTTCCCACCCGATTCATCTCCATGGACACAGTTTTCACGTGGTAAAAGTTGGCTATGGTCAGTATGACTCTCAAGGTGTGCTCGTGAATGCTTCATCTGATTTGGAATGTGACACACCCTGCACACGGGCACCAAATTGGCGGGCAAATACACCACCTGCGGGCATTCAAGCTACAGACTCGACAGTGCGTAAAGATACGGTAATAGTTCCCTCGGGTGGTTATGTCGTAGTGGAGTTTATCGCCGATAACCCCGGGCATTGGTTCCTGCATTGTCATATTGAATCACATCAATTGGAAGGTATGGCAGCGGTAATCAATGAAGTCGAGACCCGCCAGAATCCGCCGCCAAACGGAATGACAAGCTGTAGAAGCTTTACATGGAGTGTGGAGGAGTTTAATGTGAAACGCAAGTGGAGAAAAGTCGAACGCATACGGGTGAAGAAGAGCAGTGCTCGAAGACCAGCTTTGGAAAACCTGTCTTTGCTTATTGCTTTTCTTATTGCGCAAATGGCATGAGAACTCAAGCCTACAACATTCTTTGACATACTTTACAAGCTAGCCTGTCAATTTCTTTTCGCAGCAGAAAATAGTCAATAGATATAGTGTCCAAATCTGTCGTATGCATGCAACCTGCTTACAACTTGAGTTGCCCTGCGTAAATCAAGCACACAACTCACCTATGACAACATGGGCAGGTTGTGTGCTTGATTCACACAGTACAACTCAAGTCAGTGTAGGCAGGTTGCATGCGACAGTTTTAGACAAAAGTTGTGTAGTGTAAATCGGCCTTTATCCTGAAAAGACTTTCTTATAATAGTTTATGTAATGTGATTTATGTATTATAAATTACCGACTGCCCCTGTAGCAACCGCATGTGCATGCATTCATTCTCCGAAGCTTTGTTGAGGGGAAGTTTTGGGGAGGAGGTGGGTCAACTTTGATGTCTTTCTCAGCAGTTGTAGTCAATACTGACGATTGGCAGTGTAGCTGTCCATTATATAAGGTTTGCACCACTCCTCTCACCCACTTGCGTGCCAATACGCATGTTCTATTTTAGATATGGCGGCGCCAAGCTTATAGTACTAGTAAATTCCTTAACGGCTTAACACCTTCCTAATAATTCTAGTTTCCTGGTTATTAAACTACTTTAGATAAAGTAGATTTTACTTTGATAAATTACATTACATAAATTCCTTATTTTCTTCGCAAATATTCAGTTTTAAAGGGGCAATGTCACCGATCTTTGAACTAAAATTCCTTTAATTCAAAAACTGAACTACAAAGTTAAAAATAAATTAAAATGAGATAAATTATGAATTATTTGAGTCACATTACACAATTTTGAACTTCCACGCAACATGTAACTGAGATTTTCATAAAAATTGACTAAAACTTGAAAAAGTGTCTGCCAACAATTAATCAAGATGCCATTTACAATCCATCTCAATTCTGGCGTAATCTTGCCCATCTAGACTTCTGTACATGTTTTTGCGTCTGTTATTTCTTTATTTTGTGCTTTCACTCATTCTTTTTCAGTTTTGGGCAAAATTTGCGAGGGTGAGAATTGCTCAAAAATCTTGCCCCTTTAATAATAATTAGGTCTCTCATAATTCAGCATTATCGCAAGGACAATGTTTCTCGGCTATGGTTGAGTTCTGAAGCCGGTTGTACGAAATATGTGGATAAGTCACTTTTCGGTGTATAAGTCGATAAATTTTATCCGGAGTGAAAATCGCGTTGTACGAAGCTTGGATAGCGCTATCCAACGGATAAAAATCCACTATCCGTTGGATAAATTTATCCGAGATCCGGAGGTAGTTTAAATCCACTATCCGTTGGATAAACTCAAACCTTGAAGACAAAACAATGCGTATTTCATTTAAAAGGGATTGCCATTGTGATAGAACTGGACAAATACCGTTTGGAAGTCTCTTTTTTGACACTAATGACTTCCCTTGCTCTTGATGCACACCGAGCTCACTTTGAATCACTTGCCCATTAAATAATGCCATTTATTATATGGACAATGGTGTTTTACTAGAAACTAAAACACTCGTAGAACTCGTACGTCACTACACATCCGGGACCAGGTGCGCGTATTTTCCGTATTTCACCCCTGCTAGTGACATACGAAGTTCGAAAATTTCTCGCCATTTTCATTGTTGTTGTTTTTGAAAATACAAATGGTCTTTGGTTCGTATTTAAAACGAAATTAACGTTGGAAATAAAACGAAAACATTTAAAAGACATCTTGAGATAAGTAAAATTTATTTTAGTTTTATGTTTTAATTTTAAAAAATATCGCTTTTATACAGGCCTTTCGCGTCGCGTGCTTATTTACATGTCGTCTTTGTATGTATTTTTGTCACTCTGAGTAAGTCCATATAATAAACAGAACATTAAATTGGTTGCGAGAAGATATGGATTTATGTTCTCTTGTCAAAAACAATTGTGTCATAGGTCTCCCGAAAAGGTCTTTTATTTAAAAAAAATCCATACAATTTGCCTTAAAATGCAATGCTTTGACATGCAATGCTTCAATGTACAGTAAAACCTGTATAATTTGTATTACATGAAGTACGTGTAACATCACAATAGCGTGTGTCATTATGTAATATATATCCCCAAGGTTGGCAACTAAATACAAATTTAAAACTGTATACACAAATTTAATGACGAAAAAATTCGTACATAAACATCGAAATTCACTTGAAAAACTAACTCACTATGGTAAGAAATAACTGTAATACTTCTACATTGTGTTTTTTTTCTTCTCTCATCACTTTTAAACGAGTTAATTTTGCGAAAATTCCGAGGAAAATTCATCAAATTCGTAACTCAATTTGATCAAAAGTATGCGGGATGATGGCTCCCGGCGTTACGTCACAAAATAAAGCTCTCTGATTCGCTGGGAAATTTCAGCCAGCCAATCGGAGAGTTTTTTTGAAATTTTAAACATTTTCAGCAAATCAAGGAGCTTTATTTTGTGACGTAACGCCGGGAGCAGTCATCCCGCATAGTTTTGACCAAATTGAGCCATTTTCCTCGGAATTTTCGCAAAATTAACTCGTTTAAAAGTGATGAGAGAAGACAAAAACACAATGTAGAAGTACTAATCAATACTAAAGTTATTTCTTGTCATAGTGAGTTAGTTTTTTTAATGAATTTCGATGTTTATGTGCGAGTTTTTTCGTCATTAAGTTTGTGTATACATGCAGTTTTAAATTTGTATTTAGTTGCCAACCTTGGGGATATATATTACATAATGACACAACGCTATCACAAGAATAAGAAGATATAGCAGAAGTGTAACTCCAGTCGGTTTCCTTATTGTTTTACCACAGGGGGCCCCACTATGAGTTATGATTGAAATAATATTGTATTTATTTTTAAAAACCTACTTGAATCCCTTGATAATCGATTATTTCTTCTCTCGAAATTCTGTAAACATTTTAAACTGCTTGAATCATTATACTATCACTCTACATGACGTTTCATGAAGTATAGATGATCGCTGACAAGTAAGGACCGCGGGCGCGAAAAGACGAAGGCGGCGAAAGAAGGAAGAATTAAACTAAAGGGTTGAAACTTCGGCGGGTCATCGTTTGATGTGTTCCATAAGTAGGTTGTTCTCCGGAAATTTCGCACGGGGCCCCAACGTGAGTTAGGATTGAAAAAATATTGTATTTATTTTTAAAAACTTACTTGAATCCCTTGATCATCCATTATTTCTTCTCCCGAAGTTCTGTAAACCTTTTAAATGGCTCGGACCAGGGGCGTAGGAAGCGGGGGGGGGGCACAGGGGGCACGTGCCCCCCCAAATTTTTTTAAAGGACTAAAAGTGCCCTTTTTTGTGATAAAAAGTGCCCTTTTTGTGTTGAAAAGTGCCTTTTTTTGTGAGGAAAAGTGCCCCTTTTGTAGAAGCTAATGTCGCTGTAAATACTAAATTAAAACAATAGGTGCCGTTTTTGTGTGGAAATTTACAAATTTTTTTTAAAAATTAGGTCACAAACATAAATTTCGGTATGATACGACGGAAAATTTTTCTCAGGAGGGCATAATACCAGCAAAAAGGGCATAATTCCCGTGATCGCTTCGAAGCCTGATCAATATTCTGGTAATGAGACATTGCGTGTGATCACTGATCGTGTTTCTATATGAACGAGTGATTTCGTGTGAGTCGTGAGGTAGCAAATACGGTTAGACAAAACAGTCTGCAATTTAATATACTCACTTTGCCGCCTATGCGCTTAGTCTGTTTATAAGTCTATAAACACATCTTTCCTTGGCGGAATTAGTAACTATATTTTTTCGAATGCGTTTCTTCCCACCCACTTTCAAAACGCGGGATCGGCGCCCCCTTTTCATTTTTGCGGCCCCCAAGAATTGCCAGCTGGGGGGGGGGGCGTGGCCCCCCGGCCTCCCCTGCCAGCACGCCACTGATTGCAAGTTGATAGTAATTCAAAGGTTAGTGGAATTCACAAGTTATACCACAGAGAAGAAGTATATTATATATATATTAACGGTCCAATACAGTTTACTCCCCCCTGTCAAATAGCGGTAAATCAAGAACAGAACCAGTTTTAGGATTTCCCAAACAATTCCTGGTACTCATGCATTAAATGCGCGTGGACTGCTGCATTGGGCTCACTTCCTGCTAAATTGAAGACACGCACATATCGTAATTATCTCGGCTCGTGTTAGTTAGTGGTGATCTGAAGAACTTGGAAAGTTATATCAGGAATAACGTATAGAAAGTTGCCAATTACCTCCAGGTAAGTAATACGTTTTACTTGAGATTGTTTAGAAAGTTAAACCAGCATATGCGTTTATACACAGGGTTTGGTATACGTACCCATAGTCTTATAAGTTAATCTGCACCGAAGAACGAGAACGAACGAATATGCAAGTGTGTAAATTGTTTCATTGAAATCGCGAAAGCTGATTGGTTTGCATATTTAAACACGTACGAACAGACCAAAGTAAACGAACAAGTGAACGAATGACAAGCTGGGATGAACCGAACTATCAGAAATATGTTACAACCCATGCGATGCAACCTACGGCTATGAGCATGTCTTGTTACACTTTGTCAAGTTTAAACTCAAATTTCTTGCGAGTTTTTCTGTCACCATTTATAGGCTAACCTCTATGACATTCGTAGTTCTGCATATCACCATTATTACTATATTAGTCGTTGGTCGTCTATGACTATGGTCATGCATAAACAGCTACAAATCATACATGCTTAACAATGTTTCCCACTAATTCGAATGAATTGAAATGATTCCTGTGTGTGTGCCAAATATTCATACATTCTGCTGCCTTTGGTCATTTCAATGTGCTAAACAACTATTGGACATATCATAAATTAAAATGTCATCTCTCAGTCTACGTATTGTAACAAATAGAAGAAATATTAAAATGTTTTCACCAGCGCGTTTGAAACTCCCTTAAGGATAGAGAACACATACACACATAACCTACGCCGGCTCAAACAAAACACACGATGTGGACTGTCTAAACTGTATATAGAAGCCCAAATCATGCGCATACGAAACTTGCATTTAGTTTATTTTCATACTCATGGAAATTGCCTCATAAGAATAGAAATCTTTTTGAACAGCGCCCACTCAGCCATTAAAGCGTAAATACAGGCTGGGGTCTTTTGCAAGTAAAGAAATGCTGGTCACGCAATTCTCCAGTTAGGCTATGCATTGCAGGCTACAGTTAGCATGCAACGTTCACATTGTTTTGATTTATTTCACATTCAATCGAACTATTTTTTGCTAACTGAAAATTAATAGAAAGCGTTGAGTTGAACGAATGTAAACGGTATACATGCAGTCGTGAGTCGTTCAGTTAATGAGGCCATTCGTTCGTTCTCGTCCTACGGTGCAATTAACTCAGTATTGTACAACCCTTCATGATTCCAAACAAATGTCGAGCCATGTTGTGTCAGTTCAGTAGCAGAGCTGATGCTACAACGAAATATAAAATTTACGAAGAATGATTTTCGAAAATTAGTTGATGGAAATGGATTTTCATAAGTAGGTTTAAGTCAGTGTGGTGCCTATGTCCTATGTTCTGTGAGAGGTCGACTTGAGTTTAGTCATGGCTAAAATTGCATTATGGCAAACGGTTAAATATCCAGTAATATTTAGTGTAGTTCCTGGTAGTGTTCCTGGTCCTGCAATCTTTATATTGGTGATCATGCAAGCGGAACGGGTACTCGGAATTGTTACGGGAAGCGTTGTTATGTTTAGTAATTTGTTTGTACGATATCCTTATGTTAACTCTTCATTACCGCAAACAAACTTAACATTGTTTCACAGTGGACCCGATACCACAGTCTATTGCGAGACAACAGAAAAAGTATGATTTACTATGAATGTATAGCGGTATGGTTCACATATACCTGCGTATGTCGGCGGGCTATTGTCTTTAGCAGTTCAACAAAATAATTCACAAAAAAATGTATGCATCAAAAGCTGTAAACAATGCTAGCAAAGGCATACCGCAGGCATATGTGAACCAGGCTTATGATCAGTAAAATATGTAGACGTCATAACATACTACTAAAGAAAATGACGCTGCCTATATCTTTATCTGCAGCATGTAAGTTGTGTTGCTAGATTCTGTGCAAATATTCTTGTATTTGTTTCATGTTGCATGCTCGTATATAATCATGAAATTAGATCTGCCAGCTGTGACCCTTTGCCCTGGTTCCTGGAATTTTCTATCTAAAAGTAGTATTACATTTTAAAAACAGATTAATTTAATAACCATTGGGTTACGGATCGTATTATCGTATTCACTCAGCTTCTTCGAGTTTTAGTTTCATTTAAAAGTCGCTTCTCTCTCAAATAATTAAGTCGAGGGCCAGCTAGCGCTGGGCGTTTGTATGTGCAGGTAGACTAAAAGTTACAATTTTTAGACACATATAGATAAATCCGATCTGTGAAAGTTTCGTACAAGTTCGACTCTGTAAACAAAAGCAGCTCGATCGTCTTGGCGAATCATCAATCTGTTTGCACAATACACCGAACCGGGGAAGTACTTAGCCTCGACTGTAGACTTTCATTTTCGTTATTGGCTTTTAGTGCAATTTATCTTGTTACAGGCGACGCATTTACGGAATCATACAGTTATATTAGATAATATAAAAGACCTTTATATGATCACGTCATCGGTAACAAGATAAAGACTCTAGAGCCGATATATCAATCCCGAAAACGAGACTCTATAGTCAAGTCTATACTCATCTGTCTTTCATATAAGTCGGGACAGTCACGGTCAAGGCCGTTTTTCACTCCAACCGTATCGAAGCGTACGTCTTTGTTTCCTGAGCACTAGAGTGGAACTATGACTTCGACACAAAAGAAAATGCCACGTTACAGTTGAAGTGGAAATGGCCTTTAATTTAGGCGGCAAGGAAAAGAAAAATACCAACCTCTGATATATCAGTGAAATACATGTCATTCTGTTTCAAGCGACTAAAGATGGTTCTTCGTTGGTTTTGCACCATGGCCATTATTCTGGTTGGTTTTCAATACAGCTATGGTCAAAACGAGCCAGTTTATATTTGTGGAGGTGTCGACGATACGGATGGTAGAACTGTCTGTGAATGTAAGACGGACGTTTGTTATTTCAAACTGAATATTGAACATTACCAGGTAATGTAGTAAAACTGGAACAATAAAATTTAACTCTCGCTGGAACAGTTTAACGAGAATTATTTAAAACTGACCAAGCTATCCAGTGTAAATAGATTTAGTTCAGGTTTCTTCTTGTAGGATTGGAACAATACCTTTGCTAGACCTGTAGCAACGATAGTGTAAAATTGTCAGTACTATCCAGCGTAAATAAAGTTAGTTTAGTTTAGAGGTTTCTCCTGTTGTAACACTGGATCAATAGGAGATGCATGATCCTTACTAGATCTCTAAAAAAACAGTATAGAACTGATAAAGCTATCCACTATAAATAAAGTTAGTTTAGTTTAAATTTCCTCCTGTAGTAACAATGTATTTGTAATGTGTAGTATTTTGAACCACTTTATTGTACTACATATAAGAACTGATTGCACATAGTTACAAACACTAAGTTTATATGCCTTAATTTACATACAAGTTATTAGTTCAATTAGTTCCGGTGTAATACACTACATAATGGATGGCCTTTACTGGACCTCTAGAGAGAATAGTTTAGAACTAATGGAGCTATCTAGTTAGAATCTAGTGAAACTAAATTTGAAATTTTTATCTTGGAAGACATTCACAGCTTACTCCAAAGACGCGCCAATAGGCACTCGAGGAAGAGTATTCTTCATAAATGATACTGCAGGACTGGAACCCATCTTGGAGAACCGCCAGACTTCGCCTTGTAACGACGTATCCACCTGTACGCAGGCTAACACCGTAGATGGTCAAAGCTACCGATCGTTTATCAGCGTAAATAAAAGAATACCTGGACCTACTTTAATAGTGCCCGAAGGTGCGACAGTGGTTGTTGATGTCACAAACTACATGTTCACAGAAGAGACCTCGGTCCACTGGCATGGTATGCACCAGAGAAACACGCCCTGGATGGATGGCGTGGGGTACATTACACAATGTCCAATACAGGCTGGTTCAAGTTTCCGCTATATTTTTGAAGCAACACCCTCCGGGACGTTCTGGTATCACTCTCATAGTGGACCACAGAGAACTGATGGACTGTTTGGTGCACTCATAGTCAAAGAAAAGAACCTATATAGGTTATCCTCTTGGAGATATGGTGTGTTTGAAGATATACCAGAACAACACACTCTTTCATTACTGGACTGGCAAAGAGAGTCGTCTTTGGATCTGTTTGTTCAGATTCATTCCTCACTGGGTTACTACGAGGACACAGACGTCGACGAAGTACCAACACGAAGTAATACAAGGTAGGAGGTTTTGTAGATGAAAATCTCGAGTGTCAAGTTCGTACATTTATTAGACCTAACCAGGAACAGATGCGAAAAATGTAAGTACAGGTCCTATGGCAGGAACCCGCGGCTCTGCGATTCCGGTGAAGCGCTCTAACCACTGAGACATAGAGGCTAACTGCCGAGTTGTAACCACATGTTCACCGAAATCGCAAGGCCGCAGGATCAGTGCATGTAAGGTCCACATTTTATAAAGTATAAGTGTTATATAGAGTTTTTGACTACTGAGAAAAATCGTATTTAAACACACGTAAAAAATACGATATTTTTACGTGCGAAGATAGCATTTTTGCAAGCCAATCATAAAGCGTATAGGAAATATGTTTGACCAATCAGAGAACTTGTTGTAAAACGATTGTCACAGATGTTTTATTGTTTTTCAATTTTGTTTATATAATAAACAGAAAAATACATGGGTGCTTGGAAATACCAGATTTATTTCTCGTGTTGAACATTATTTCTCGTGTTGAACAATACCAGATTTATTTCTCGTTCGCTGCGCTCACTCGTGATATATCATGTTCAACACTCGAAATAAATCTGGTATTTCTGCGCTCCCATGTATTATTCTCTACTTCTTTCATTTTCCTTTTTAGTTTGCTATTTTCCTATGACGCAAAAGTTCAAGATATGCTTTTTATTTATATAAGCTTGGATATTTTTCAGGTATACATCAACATGCTCACTTGACGGAGCAGAGGTCGGCCCAATCCCCTACTGGTCTGGAGTTATCAACGGTCTGGGCAGACATGCCAAAGTGCCTTTCAAGAATTCTAGACTGAGCACATTTTTCGTTGAACGTTGGAAATCGTACCGTTTTCGATTAATTGGAGCGCAGGCGAACTATGCATATAAGTTTTATATCGGAGGTCATAAATTGCGTGTCATTGCAACGGACGGGTTTTTTATTGAACCAATTTCAGCAGATTTTCTGATAGTAAACACTGGGGAACGCTATGATTTCTTGCTAGACACATACCAGTACCCGGGAACTGATTTTCTCATCAGAGCAGAAACACTGGAGGTGAACTGTAGCAGTTTAAAAGTGGATGGGAAATTAGAAACGAACGATGCAATTGCTGCACTGACTTATGGAAACTCTGTGAATATGTTTGTCATTGAAGAAGCCTATAGGAATGGCTTTTCTAAACCGGATTGCACCAGCCAAAATCCATGTACTGTCGTCAACTGTCCGTTCGAGAATTGGGCGGAGCCAGGCTACCAATGTGTTAATGTTGATCAGTTTCAACTGTTAATACCAACGCCTGAAAAGGACGTGCCGAATTTTAGTTCAGAATGGTCAGCAGAAGACGCGACGTTCTTCTTTAATTTCGGTTTTGATAGTACAGAAGTCACCAGCACGGTTAACGGACGGAATTTTGTAGTGCCTAGTATTTCATTACAGACAGAACAAGAAGATAAGGACAACATGACAGTGTGTTCAGATGTAAGCGCAGCATGTATGAAGGAAGATTGTCAATGTACGCAGATATTGGACCTTGGGGAAAACTTCTACAACAAAACAATAAGGTGAGAGCTTGTTCAGTTTATTGTTTATTTTATAGTTTATTGAGTTTCTCACACGTTGGTGAGCGGATTTCCCAACAGACTATTGCCCAATTGATAGGGGATCCGAGGTACCTACGATTTTAACGTCATTATCCGAGACGACGCGAAAGTCTAACCATTTACTATGTCAATGTAAAGGTAGCACTTTCTTCTCAATTATTTTAAGACTTTGAGAGTAAAGGTCCGACCAAGGATTGAACACGGCTCTCCTAGCTTGAAAGTGTGGTGACTATATGACATCACAAGTGTGACAGCTTTTTACGTTACACAGCCAATAACACAGCAGGTTGTTGCAATATTGTTGGCTGAACAATACTGCAACATTGCAACTACCATGGTTGAACAACATTGCTGAATCAGCAGAATTGTTCATTATTGTTGCAACAGCGTTGTTCAGTATTGGCAAACCAGCAATAGTTGTTCAAGGTTGTTTCAACAGGTAAAAATAAGTACGCACTGCATACATGTTGCAAGCCATTTAGTCAGTCATAGCAGGTGCATGAGGTTAACTAACTTGTTGCCTAGTGATTTGCATGCTCTTTTCACCTCTGTGACCGAAGTTTGCAGCTGCAACATGCAGGACATGACTTTCTTATCATTTTTCCTCACATGCACCTGGGCTCCCAGTGTGCCTCTACAAGAAACTGATTAGCTTTTATTGGGTCCATGGTACTCCTCTGAAATAGAGGGTGATAGTGCAGCTAGGATTTACTATGCCCCAACTATAGGAAAAGGATCATGCATTAAAACGGGAATTTCGTTGGCATATTTGACAATGCTGATAGATATACTGTAACCCAATCATTAGATAAAGTGATAAATTCTATGCAGTATGTCCTGGGAAGGGCCACTAATAATTGAAGAGCACATCAGCTTATTTTTATGTACAATTATAGTAAACTTGTTTCAGGTACTGATAAAATAACTTGTCCTAATGGACCTTTCACCTTTTGACTAAAATTTAGATTTCAACAAGTCTAGACAAAAATTTTATCACAGCTTGAAAGAGCATCACAAAATTAGTAATATTCCGAAGTTTCGTTGCGAAATGTTGTAAAATGCGGATAATATAGCCTTGCGAAGTTTGCAATTTTCAGTCAATTTGTATTACAAACGGGAAATACATACCCTTTTTCCGAAGGAGGTATGTATTTCCCGCGCGTAATACAAAATGACTGAAAATGGCAAACTTCGCAAGGCTATATTATCCGCATTTTACAACATT